GAGGTGCCATATGTGTGTTTCTATTTGATGGCTTGTTGTTGAAGCTGAGCCTTTACTTGTATTGAATTGTTATCACCTATTTTGATGAGATTATAGTTATTGTTTTTCTACTATACTTTCTGTTACCAGTCTTTGATATATTGCACAGGTTATTTGACTACTGCGTATCTTTTGACTTAAAAACCTCGTCACTACTTCTCTAAGGTTAGTCAAGATACTTATTGAGTACATGGGCTCGGTTGTACTAATACTACACTTTTGCACCTTGCGTGCAGTTTCTGGAGCTAAGTAGTTGTGGATGTCGAAGCCTTGCATTGGAGACCTATCATCATGCAGGATTCATGCTACCTTTTGTTCACGGTAACACAGGATTTCATTTCTCTTTATGTAACCTTCAAATAAATGTTGTATTTATTCTTTTACAAGCTTTGTAAATCAAATTTATAGTGGCTCGTGACTTGTACTTGCAAACAGATGTTGTATTTACTTCTTTTACTAGCTTTGTAAATCAAATTTATAGTAGTTCATGACTTGTACTATCATTCCTTAGGGTAGTTGTATTGAATTCTTTTGAGATTTTATTAATATATTGATGACTTCTCTTTGTTGTAGTAATTTATACTGTTTGGCTTACCTAGCAGGTTGGGTTAGGTGCCATCATAATTATGTGGTGTTTTGGGTCGTGACATGAAGCCTAATAAATCTATCAAGCCACTTCTACTCCTTAACAATCGTGTCCGGTCTGGTCTCTGTCCTAGCCGTGGCAACCAACTGAACTCCACCCGCAGGTAGTACACCCGGGGTCTAATAAATAGCAGCGGCATGCCCTGGCGATTGAGCGGTAGGGGTCCTTGCTCCCCCTCCCGCCTGATATGTGGCTGGGTTAGCACGGAATAATCTGGACTTAGTCTTAGAGTCCATAAACCGCAACATACGACCTTGACCTCCTGAAAGCTCGATGCGGTCATGAAATCTGCCAGGGCTTGCTCAGCTGCAGGTACCTCATCCCGCTCCTCAATAACAAGATCCTCAATGGGATCCACTAGCGGCACATCTTGGGCAACTCTGGGATCCCATGTAGTTGTGATGTGTTAAAGTAAGGTGATCCATGTGTTAGTTTATCATGGTAGCTTTAATAAATAGATGTCAACTTGCAAATCACATGTCCACTCTGCCTAAACTAGTTATGAATGAGCATCCTTGTTGTTTCATGTATATGTGGTGTTTGAAAACTGTCCATAAGATCTTTCTGCAATATGTGAAGATATTGTTGGATCGGGTAACTTTAATGAGTATCCTCAGTGTGAATTACCATGTCTATAAGTCATACCTATAGGATCTAAATGGTGAGACCAGATTTTGACCATTCTACTCATGCTTAATGCTCTCATGTATTTTCACTGTTAGTAATGACTCCCTTAAGACTAATTTTGAGTAAGTTGTTAGCATAGATTCTTAGTGTGATATGAAAATCTTAACTATGTGCTTGTTGAAAGAAGCTGCTCTGAGACTGTTGTGGTATTCTATCACTTGCTTTAATAATCCAAGCTTGCTTAAAGGGAACTCTGTCTATTAGGATCCTATGAAGCACTGGACCTTTGATGAAGTTAGTGAATGAGTGTTTATGCTTGTTCCTGTTAAGTGTTGTTGCCATAAACTACTTAGTATGATTTTCCTAAAGCTGAAATTGTAAGCAGGACAACAAAGCTTACCTACATAAGAATATAGTCAATCATTTGTGCTTTATTACTTTCTTCTTGTTTGTGTATGTAACTCTTACGAGTATTTTGTAAATGCGATGTCCCATGGAATGACTCAGAATCAACTTTTAAGCCTTCTAAGTTGTTAGAACTTTGGGAATTGGTATAACTTGTGTCTGATAAAGATCATGATTTTAGAGCTCAAATATAAGTAAATCCATGATTATTTATGACTTTGCACTCCAGTAATGATTTCACTTTATAGAATGGGTGTCTGTCTTAAATCAATTGGTGCTTCTTCGTGATTGATTTCCTTGAATGTATTATGGGACCTTCTGCACTTCTGCTAATGTGCTTTGTGTTGGTTATGTGAGACTGTCTAAGCACCTGTTTGGTTGAGATGATAAGTTGATATTTCGTTTGTGCTTAAACCTCTGAAGAAGAATGAGGCTCAATGCTAAAGGGTATTTTGGTGTGAACTTGACTTTATGATTGGGGAACCCCTCCCTGGAACAATCATTGCTCGGGGTCCATGAGACTCCCGTGAACTCTGAAGTGTCAGGGGTCCTTAGGAAAACCTCATAAATAAAAATGGTTCATCCTAGTCCTATAGTCATTGACCTAAATTAATTTACATAGGATTAGCATAAACAAAATTTGGCTTCACTGTATTTCTTCAGATCCTATTCACATTTTGTAAACTCTATCTTACTTTACTTTATATTTATATGTGCCAATTAATTCTTACTCTTTCCTTTGCAAGATCATTGGGCCTGTTGAGTTCATTGAGAACTCAGGCCTAGGTTCAGAGGTCGGGATGCTTCCTTGTCACCTGTTGAATTCCACTGATGCTTTGAGTCTAGCTAGGCCTGGCTACTTTGTCAGCCCAATACGAAAGTCCAACCTTCCTTTCCTTTATCTAAAACTAGATGAGGTTTTCCCGTGCATAGCACGGGCCCAACATTTAGAATGCTGATATCGTCTGATGATTGTTTATAATCTTTAGATAATCTATTATTTAAACCTTAAATATGAACACATACCTTAGAACAACCATGATTTCACAAACACATAAGCAAAAGTTCCATCCTTAGTAAATAGTAACAAACATAAAAGACTACCTACTACTTGAAGCATATATATTCAGTATGTGCATTCAGGAACAATGAATATCATTGAAATTACATCCACGAAGATAACCATACAAAATGACGGTCAAAAGGCACTACTTGTTTATGACTTGGTTGCTGAAACATCTTCTGCTAGTAGTAGCTATTATAACTGCATGACTAAGATACCATAGAAAAGAACATGTAAATAAGTGATTCAACTCCCTCATACATCTTTGTCCAAATTCTATGCTTTGATTGTTACTTGGTCTTTACAAATGCCTTGCTTGAACTGGTTGAGCTGGGTAAGGAAAACTGACAAAGAAGTAATGCACTAATCATCCATCAGGGAAATTTAATGATAGAGATAAAATTTAGCCCCTAAATAAATTAAATNGCTTGACCAACTCATCCCAAGTTGCTATAGAGTTTATGGGAAGCGAATTTAGCCAAACCTGAGCAGCTCCTGTCACCGAGAATGGAAACAATAATAATCTGATTGCTTCCGGAGTCACGTTCGGTTGCCTTTGATTTTTGCAAATAGACAGGAAGTTCTTTAAGTGTTGCTGCGGGTCTTCTGTTTGTGTCCCAGAAAAAAGTCCCTTGTTCTGCAACAAGTGTAGCATGTTATTTGTGATCTGGAACGATTCAGCTTGTATCGCAGGCACAATAATGGCAGTGGCCAGATTGTCAGCTGTGGGTTGTGCCCAGTCATAAAGTGCACCCTCAGGCACAGGAGGTGCCAATTGCTCATTCCTGACGTTCCCGTTGGGGTCGTTTATGTCGCCCATGTCAATTTCGAGTTGGTGTATTTGTTGTGATTGTTGAAGTCTTTTGTTTGCACGATTCAATGCCCGGAATGTCTTCTCGGGGTACGAGAGTCCTTCAAGCAGTTCTCCAGTCCTCGTAGAATTTCTAGGCATGCACCTGTGCACCCAGATCAACAACCGTCAAATTTTCAATGAAAAAGTTGGTAGAGAGAAAACTGACTACAACAAGAATCTTTGTATTTCTATCAATGGCAATTGATAATTCCGTTAACTCCCCGGCAACGACGCCAAAATTTGATCACGCCCAACTATGCCTTATAAAAAGAACTCTGCGGACGTTGCAAATATAACCCGAGTATTACGCCCAGGGTCGAATCCACAGAGAGTTAACCTATCAACCGCTATCTTTAGACCCACTAAGTCTTTAGAACCAGCTTCCCAAATATTCAAATCTCAGTTGAGTGTTCTTTAATAACTAGCTTGCAAATAACTAAATGGCTGTAACTAAGTAAAAAATAAGGGTTGTAAATAATTATGAGAAAAATCTAAGGCAATGATTTCCCCTATTGATGGAATCCCTTCTGTTTATGCTCATATAAATTTACCCACACATCTCTATCAATCATGAACGCTAATCTTGCCGCAAATCTCTCCCGAGTAATCACAGTAATCTACTATTGCACTCTCCCGAGATACACTAGCTTGCTTTATTTAGCACAATTCACTTTAGATTGCACCCAAGGCTTCGTTATTCCTAATCCCGCCTTTAAACCCGCAATTATAGATTCCTCTAATAATCTAGGAGTGGTGTTGTTCAACAATACCCTAAATATGCACTCTTTTCCAAGTTATGCACACTAAATAGGCACAGCTAATTGAGGATCCTGTCAATTAACTACAACGAACACGAAGTTGAACAAATAAAGATTAAACTAGCAATTTGTATTCACATAAACAAGAAGTTCATCACCCAATAGGTTCCATCAACGCCTTAGACAAGGCATTTAGCTACTCATGGCTATGGGAAAATAAACTAAGCTTGAATTCATCAATAAATCAAAAGAAAAGAAGAAAGATGTTTAGAGTACTTTCTCACAATTGTTTTCCTTGCTAAGAAACTTAAAAACTCAATACATGCCTCTCTTGGGAGAAGTCTAATGTTTTAAATAGGGTTTAGGTCTAAAAATCCCGTAATTGACACTTTGGTCCCTGAAGTTTCTGCGCCTGCCGCGGTTCTGCCGCGGTCGCGGTAGAACCGCGGCCAAACACCCTCGCGGAATCTCTGAACTTCTGCAGCTGCTTCCCACCGCGGTTCTGCCGCGGTCGCGGTGGAACCGCGGCCAAACCAGTTCTCTGAATTCTAAGGGCTGGCAGGGCGTGGCTTCATTGGGCATTTACACATTTGGCCTCTTTTCTCCAATTTTTGACTCCAAAATTGCTCCTTAGCGTTCCTTGTACATATATCACCTGCAAATCATGAAAAGCACTAATAAGAGCATTTTGTTATCACTTTTAGCATTAAAACTACACAAGAAGGTGATTATTTAAGGTGTGATTATAGTCAAATTCACCTATTATCAATCACATCATTCGGCTAGCAAAGCTATGTTAAATTTAACATATTTATAAGAAATCAGTTTAAAAAGTGACTCATTCAAAATTTGAATTCACAATTAAAAAAAACACTCTATATACTATAGCTTATATGTTTCCACCATCAAGAGAAATAAAACACAAAGCAAATCAACATAGGATTATATAGATTGCAAAAAGTCTTTCAGAACTCCACATAATTAGTCAAGTGGACCTTCCTAGAATGTACAATATTGTCTTATGCATAACCAAAGATATATTAGTTAACTCAACACCTGTTCTATTGCTGGAAACCAAAAAGGGAACCAGAAGATCTCGTTTGGTTTAGTAGTTGTCTATAAATTTAAAAGCACATATTCATTAATTGAAAACCATTAGATCAATGAAATTCTCCGGTGGATCAGCGATCGATAATCTAATATATTAATAAAGTGTGTTATTCTAAAAGAATGAGTTTAGAACAATATTAAGAAAGCAACGACATGATCTTCAATACAAAGCTAATCCATCGGAATTCGGTAAAAAGAAAATTGGAATCAAAATTCAATAAGTTTCTGATTGTTTTTTATCCTTAGGTTTCTTGAAGAACAAATAGTAAACGGGAGCAGGGCACACGCATCCCCTAAATAAGCAGAAGCGTGGAAAAAATATACAAAGGAAAAAAAGATAATATCCCTGGCCATGAGATCTCATCTCTGCACAAAATCAACAAGTATAATTTTATCCCTAAGAATTGAGCGAAAATATAGGATCAACACTGTTTTAACTTTCTCAAATTTGTGCATTGTGCGACATATATGATCATACTGAGAAAATTAGATCAAAACAACCCCAATTATCTCCCATAAAGCGCTCATGACAAAGACAGTGAAGAAGCAGGTGAACTAAAAATGAAAAATACTCTAAAAAGGATATTACCTCTCTATATTCAATCATCATGCTTGTTCCCAGAGATTCAACCTTTAAGAACAGCAAATATATGGTAAAAGACCACCATTATCGCCGGCAAAAAACTCCAAGTTCTGCCCTAAACTCTTACTCATACCAACTCTCTAATTACAAAAAAAAATCGGATAGAAAAATAAAGCCCTTATAGAAATTAATGGAAAAAAGAATAAGATTTGGGCAAAAATTTAAGAGGAACAGACCTGAAAGTTGCAACACCCAACTGAGAAGATGAAGAGAAATGGAAAAAAATATTACTCCTCTAAGAAGTCTGAGGACAGATTGAGAACCAGAGAAATATCAATATTTCTTGTTGTGGCTTGGAAGAATCAATGTGTCTAGAATTGTCTTGAGTTATTAATTGAAATTATAATTTTACCCTTGAACTAAAATTTATGCCATTGGTCGACCACACTTGGCTTTTCTATATAATAGAAAAATAATTGTTGTTGCTGTTGTCTTTCTTTCTGTGTATATGAACTAATGCTAATATTAAAAAATCTATTATTATCTTAATCTTTTAAGCATACTTTAGGCAAATCAGAACCTAACAAGTGTTTAACCAGAAAATAGGAATTTCGGTCAAAGCGTATTCTTAGAAGAATTCGGGTTACTGATTATCAAATAAAGAAATAATTGTATAACAAGAAAGGAAAATTATACTGAGAAGTAGCCGAGTAAGCAATATAATAATTGGTCCCCCTACCAATGTTATTTCTCTCTCTTTTATAGTTATTTCTAAGTACAACGTTTCTTTCCTCCCATAATAGAGCCATTATGAGCATTTAATGACATTAATAAGACGTTATAATTGGCAATCGTAACTGCTCCGTGAAGATTCTATAACGTTTCCTATCATTTACGCTCATTAATTGAAGATATTACGAATCTGTACTTTCTGCTGTCTTGATTCATTCCACTGGTGTCTCTTTAAATTATCAAGAGGCCCGAGTGACCGTTCTTTCTTGTCTTCATGACATTTCGCTCGTACCTGTTGAGACTCGTGTCTCTTTAAGTACTCTTTGCCAGATATCTCTCTTATAATAATCTATGTGTCTTGACATGTCAGCCACATAATTAATTCCAATCGTAATATCGATTTTTCCCCAATACAACAGGTAAAAGGTAATTGTGGCTTCAAGGATTATTCGTCTTAACAACCTTAACACTTTTGAAATCTTAACGTTTTGAAACTAATTATTTTGGCAACTAATCTTTCTTTCACTTGCACATCTTTTCTAATGAGTTTTGTTTGGTTTTATGCATCGGCGGAATTTAAACAAGTTTAAATGGAAACAACTCTTTTGAAAGGTTTTCAAAAATGGATCATGGGAAATTGAAATGTTCTAACACAAAAATGGCAATCACACATCACTGGTTTTTGAGAAGAACCAAGATTAAGAAGTCCTTTTGGAAAATATAATTGTCTTTATTAAAACAACCTCCAAATAAACGGATCAAGTATACCAGTTTTGATAAATGCATAGACACATTTTCTTGTAATAGCCCCTTATTTTACTAAGATTTTTAAACAAATCTTACCATTTCTAAAGGGAATATACTTTCTTTACAAAAGATGAGCTTTCAAACAAGAATCAATATGATTTTTACTTATACAAGGCCTTTCATAAAAAACCATTTAGTAATTTTAATCAATTAATCAACTAGGACATATATAATTCTTTCCCCGTATCTACCTTAATTTTAATGAACTACCTCAGGTAGATTTTAAAGGATGTCTAACACTTTCCCCTTAAAATAACTGAAACCTTTACCCAAATCTCATTAGTTAGTAGACCATTAGGACAATGGCCTTATAGACTTATAGGTACCCTAGTATACCTCTAAAATTATTATGTGACGACTCTTTTTCATCAACTTCAGAGGAACCACTAGTTTTATTTTATTTTGACCTGTGCAAAATAGGGTGCAACACTCGTCACCTCGCGTATACGTCGCATCTCACACATTTCAGTTAGACAAAAAAGGTTATCTCCTAAGGGTTATTCCCTCAACAAGATTAGGTAAGATACTTACCTCAACCGGGCTAGTCCGAAGCTCCAAAGCGCATTCCTTACGAAATCACCTCTAATCGGCTCAAATATAGCCAAACATCGACTAGGAAAGTCAACCAATGCGATAGGAAATGATCCTAATCCATAATACTTCGATCTTTGAAGGAATTCCCAAAAGTCAACCGGGCTCGCATGCCCAAAATTCGAAACCAATACCAAAATCCGATGATCCATGACCTGCAGAGTCCAAATATATGATTAGATTCTAAAACCAAATCTAAATCGGTACTCAAAATTCCAAAATACACTCTCTTAGGCAAAAATCCCACTTTTTCTTTTAAAATTTCATGATTAAAGTGTACAAATCCATGGAAAATGAAGATATATAATTTTATCCAAATAGAAATTACTTACCCACAAAGTAATAGTGAAAATTCTCTCCGAAATCGCCTCTTCCTGAGCTTCAAAACTAAAAATAGTGAAAAATAAGCAATTCCCGAATTTATGGACAAAATATACCCCTAACTGAAATCCTTCTTCGCGTTCAGGACCAACACTTCGTGAACGGAAAGCACTGTGAGAATACACGGGAGAAAAATCTATTTGATTAATTATGACAATGATACAATGAGCCCCATATATATAATACATGTCCTACTCCTAATACATATGG